ATCCTCCATGTGCTTCCTTTACAAATCCAACCGTGTTCCTCTCAGGACCTTCTTCACTCTCTCACTTGATACGAGGGGGCATAAGTGTTTTCAGACAGTTGAATCAGATTTGCCGCAGGCTCTTTTAATACACACACACACACACACACACACACACACACACATGAGTGCGGCGCTCTGTGTTGACAGTTCTGGTGCTCTAGCTAGACTCATTCAGAGATGTGATACAAACCCTCACGTAATCACACCCTGATGCACGCACACAGATGCTGTACACTTTATGTGGCTGGAATTCAAGACATACGATGATTTAAAACCATGTTCTACAGGAAGAGAGACTGAGGCAAAGGCGGAGAGAAAGCTGTGAATTTAAAAGGATTTGGGTGAAGTGTAAATCTGGGGCATGAGGGAGATGGAGGAACAAGGAAAAGAAAGAAGAGAGTGTGAGAAATCCTGCATACATGGAGTAATCTGTAAGAAAGTCACAGTATTTAAGTGGTCTATGTCTGTGATTTTCTGTGTGTGTGTGTGTGTGTGACTATTATGAGGTCTGTTCAAGAGTCTTTATACTGTACACAAAACCACACACAAATACACTAAAGAATGGTAGTCATTTTTAAATTCATATTAAAATACTAAAGTTAAATAATTAACTGTTAGTTATCATTTCATTTACGGTGAAAATTATATATATTTAAAAGACTGTACGTCAATAATTAGTGAAATAATTTTTAAGCTATAAATATATATATAAAAATAATTAATTCATTAATTAAATATTAACAATTTAAAATTATCATTTTAAATTATATAAATGATATGTGTTTTAAATTTGGTATTTTTATATTTTAAATAATATTTATTAATTATATTCATAATATAATATTCAATATAATTATATAATATAAATATATTATTATAGAAAATGTTTTATTTGCCACCTTATACTTTATGTAAAGAAGTTTCGAGAAGTACTTGTGCGATTTATTACATTTGATTATATATTATTTAAAAATTATATTTCTTCTCTCTTGTTGTTAGTTATGTGCATTACAGTACATTTTATGCTACTTAGTTTATAGCATTATTTTAGTGTTCTGTGTTTTGTCTTTGTTTGTATAACACTGCGCACATCTACCATATTTTTCAGACATTTTTTTCATAAGTCGCATTGATGTAAAATCAAATCTTATTATTACAATCATAAATAATGTAAAAAACTTGTAAATGTAAAAAAAAAAATGTACATAAATTGATATATTTCTAAAGATTATAAACAGTAATCCTCTCACTTCACAACAAATCCTTTTTGAACAGGAATGAAAAATATAAGTATAAAACAAACTAAATTCATAACATTCATAACAAACATTTATTATAAACTCCAAGTCTAAACAAATGTATTTAAAGTGAGACTGTGCGCTATGTGCGGTTTTTTTTGTGTGCTTGACATTAATTGCATTATATCGCTTTGGAACATAAGTCGCAGCTCGTTTCAGGTGATAAAAAAAAAAGTCTCTTATATTTTTGCTGGAAATGCCACATTGATGAACTGTAAATCATCGTGTGGTCGGTCTACTGTTGATGCATTTGTGTTATTATTTTTGTACTGAGCAGATTATTGTGGCTCAGATTTTGTTGGTGTATTAACATTATCATCATTTAATGATATATGGGTGGTTATGAACTGTGAAAAGGTTATGAAACACAGATGTACATATGTTAAATTACACAACTTCTCACTGTATCAACAGCTAATGAGATGTACATCTCTCTCGCTCTCTCTCTCAGCTGAACAGTAAACGTTCCAGTAGTTTCCGCCGAGCCATTGCAAATGGGCGTCGCACTCTGCAGCGAGAGATCCTATTGGATGAGACGGGGCTGGGCGTGTACAAGCGCTTCGTGCGCTACGTGGCCTACGAGATTCTGCCATGCGAGACGGACCGCCGATGGTACTTCCATCAGAGCAGACTCTGCCCTCCTCCTGTGTTCATGACCATCATTACCATTGTACAGGTACACCTCACTGAGCTCTGTACGGCTCTTTACTCTTTATGTTGCTTTATGGGTTCTTTAAAGGGGTCCTATTATGCTCTTATACAAAGTCTTGATTTTGTTTTGGGGGTGTACTAGAACAGGCTCTCATACTAGGTTCGAAAAACACATTCTTTTTCACAAATTTTACATTATTATAACACCTCTCTCCCCAGTCTGGCATGAACGGCTCGAATAGTTCCTGTATCAAATGAAGGCCCGCCTTCTGAAATACGAAATGTGCTGTGATTGGTTAGCTGGGCCAGTGTGTGTTGTGATCGGTTAGCTGGGCCAGTGTGTGTTGTGATCGGTTAGCTGGGCCAGTGTGTGTTGTGATCGGTTAGCTGGGCCAGTGTGTGTTGTGATCGGTTAGCTGGGCCAGTGTGTGCTGTGATCGGTTAGCTGGGTAAGTGCTGTGATTGGTTAGCTGGGCCAGTGTGTGCTGTGGTCGGTTGGCTGGGTCAGTGCTGTGATTGGTTAGCTGGGCCAGTGTGTGCTGTGATCGGTTAGCTGGGTCAGTGCTGTGATTGGCAGCACTTGGCGCCTGGTCGGGAAATGTTACCTTACCATAGCCGCTTGCGAGCTTCAGTGTAAATATTGCGTCAAAATCAAATCAATTTGAGTGCGATTTAAACCCGGATGATTGTAACCCCTCTAAGTTCATCTGCTTTGGGAAAGCTAGCGAGTCTCGGACATAGTGATAACACTTTTTGCCTTCTCTAGTGCAGCTCAACCAGGTCTCGTCCCATTTGTGATATCACAAATCCTGGAATATATGCGTTGTAGTCCAAACTTGTAGATTTTGGAAATTGATTTCTGTTAAATAAAATATCTCCTTTTGAATTGGACTTTGAGCTTTGTAACTTTGCAGATCTTTTTTATGCTCAAACAGCAACATTACAGACTAACTAAAGTTGAAAAAGTGAAAATACATAATAGGACCCCTTTAAAACACCAGTAACTAGAGTGAACCATTCTTGGCAAAACTTTTTGGTTGTGGTTTTTTTAACCCTATAAAGCCTACTGTATATATTTGATACGCAAATTTCTAAGACCTCTAAATGATCAATATAATCAAAACTTTGCTTAAAAAACCTGTTGCACACAATCTACTACACGCCTTCTGGCATCAGATTGATAGTTTATACTGAAACTTTTAGTATAACTGTACAAACGTCCATCTTCAGGTCGTGGTTCACGTGTCTTTTTGCTGTGAAATCTTTTCTGATTTTTATAAAGTAAACAAGAATAACTTTTATATTGTTAGTAATCAACACTTACTGAACTGAAGCAACTTAGGTTTACTTGATTATCCATACATCATTTATGAAAAATCATCTTAAAATGTATCAAATATGATCCATCCGGCTTTTGAGGAACGTTTATTTGTTTATTTATCTCTCAGTCATGATTGTATTGCATTGCATTTTATGTTTTAAATGAAAACTGCAGCGCTTTGATCATAAAACTAAGCATTAAAGTATAATCTTAAAACATTATTATGAGATTAAGAGTGACAACTGATATTTAAATGCATTTACTGTAAGTAGTCTGCTGTACTATTACAAAGGGTAATACAAATAATTCATTGATTTACATTACGAGCAGAATATCAGAATATCATCTTTCTGGCCAAATAAATCAGCATCTACACCAAATTGTATATTTTTGCTCTGTTTGGGCCTCTAAAACTGAGGTGAGCTCCATATTCTCACTATATCTTGCTATGTGAGCCATAAAAGCCTGATGTATCAATTATGATTCTCAACAAAAACCACATATGCAGACTTTTTTAGTATTGTTTTCTTGTTTATTTTGTCTAAAGGTTCAATAAACTCTTCCATTTCCAAACATTAGATGTTTCTGACTATTGTTTGATACGTCAGGCTTTACAAGGTTAAGACTGTGTTTGTGTTCCAGATCATTGTGTTTATGTGTTACGGCGTGATGCTCAATAAATGGGTGTTGCAAACCTACCAGCCGGATTTCATGAAGAGTCCGCTGGTGTATCATCCCGGACACCGCGCTCAAATCTGGAGGTTCTTCAGCTATATGTTCATGCATGTTGGGTAAGAACTTTACGCAGTGATTGACAGGCCTGGATTAACAAGCTCCTCCTTAACCCTTGTTTAGGTCAGTTATAAATAAGTGAGCATCAGCTGTAGTGCACTTGGTTAATTATGCAACTAGCAACTGTTCTTCGAATAAACTGTGTGCCTACATGTTTAGAAACTGAGTTTTACAAGCTGGATGTGTGTGTGTGTGCAGGTTAGAGCAGTTGGGTTTCAACGCTCTTCTCCAGCTGATGATTGGAGTTCCTCTGGAGATGGTTCATGGGATCCTGAGGATCAGTCTGCTGTATATGGCAGGAGTCGTCGCTGGTGAGTTAGTGCGTGTGTGTCCGCATACAGCTGGCCATCCTTGCACTGTGACAAGTTCACCAGGAGAATGTACTCATATTTATGATGGACATGTCACCAGTGGTCAATGACCTAATCAATAATCTCTGAATTATTCACACACACACAAACACACCCACCCACCCACACACACACACACACACACACACTCCATCTCTTTCTCGTCACATACACACCAAAGCGGAGCCTGTGTGTAGTGTAGTAGAATACATTTACATTTTAATGCTAGTTATCTTGCTCTTCTTATTATGAAACAGAGATATATATTGTCCAATATCAGGGCTATTCCATTCCTAGAGGGCCACATCCATAAGAGTTTCACGCCAACTAATATATATATATATATATATATATATATATATTACTAAATAAAATCCTCATTAAATTAAATTTTATTTTTATTAACTTTAATTTCTCACTAATTTAACAAAAATCAAAACTAAACATACAAATATTTGACAATAACAAAAATAAAAATACAAATTTAAACATAATTCTGACCTGAATGGAAATTCCTTAAATTATTATTTAAGTAATGTTACATATTTTATTATATAATAAAATATACATTTCAATAAGTAAAATTCTTATTCAGTTCAAATTGATTTGTTAGTGATTTATTTATTCATTTATTATCATACATTTATTTATTTCAGTTTATTATTTTCATTTATAAAAATATTATACTATCTATCTATACATGTTATTTTAATTGGTTAATTTTGGAAATGTTATTAAAAATACAAATTTAGTCATTCCTCCTTACCAGTATGTAAATTCTGTAATATATATATATACAGTATATATATAGAGAGAGAGAGAGAGAGAGAGAAATGTTACATATTTTATTACATATTAAAATTAAAATAAATTTTAATAAGTAAAATTCATGTTCCATTAACAAAAATATTTTACAAAAATAAAAACGATACAAAAAATACTAATGTAATCATCCTTATGACCTGTATGTAAATTCCATAATTTAAAATGTTTGTTTTATTTGAAGTAATGTTACATATTTTATTAAATAGTAAATAATAAAATTCAATAAGTAAAATTCTTATTCAATTAAAATAGATTTTTAATTCAATTATTTAGTAATTTATTATAATATGTATATATATATATATATATATATATATATATATATTTCAGTTGATTATTTTCATACCATTTCCATACATTACATTTTCTGTGTGTGTGTGTAAAATAGGAGATATACAGGTGATATACAGTGCAGTTAAATTTGAACTACATTTTGCTGAATTCAGAGCTTAATCCAACATACTTGTCTGTAATTATTAAATAATCCTGAAGATCTTGATTAGCTGGTTCAGGTCTGTTTAATTAGAGTTCATGCAAAAGCCTGCAGGACGTGGCCCTTCGGTCCAGGAACAGAATCAAATAGGCGTGATGTAGTATAATACAGCTTAACTATCGCAAATGAAATGTGCAGAAGTATGATGCAATGAAATAAACACTTATGTTGTATAACATACTACATACACCAACACACATGTTGCAACATCAGTGTTTTGACATACTGTAAGAGCAAGTGTCCATGCTGAGGACAGAACGTGAGATGGAAATTAAAGGAAGGAGAGAATAGAGTATGCAAGAACAGATAAGAGAAAATTAGCAGATTCATAGAGACTATATGTGAGAAAGAGATGAAAAGACAAGGAAAACGGGTGGAGGACGTGCTAGAGGAATGAGTATTGAGAAAATGTAACATAAAAAAGAGCAGAATGATGAAGACTGTGGTGGAGTAAGAGTGCTGAGCGCAGCACAGCTCAGTGTGTAACACACTGTATAGGCGATCTGTCACACACACACAGAGGATATGCCAATATTCAGTTATCTCACACATGCATGCATGTTCGCTTTCCTATGAGCTCTTAGTTTAGAGCTGTACTCAGTGTGTTTTGTGCCACTGAATGTTCTGTATTAAATTAAAGTCCACTTGGGGTGGCCACCTAACGACCACCCAGAACACCTTAGCAACCACATAGCAATGTCCTACTAACCACTCAACACCCTGACATCATGGTGGCAATTTCTGCACAGGCAAATTGCAGTTATTTTCCTCAAAAAAAAGATAGTACATGTATAGATTACAGCACAGAGCAGCTCTGTATCCTGACAACTATTAATTACCTTTATTATATTCCTTAAATGGGTCAGCAGTGGTGATGGCAGTAGAACAGAAATACAGGTCAGGAGGGGTTTATATGCACATATATTGTGCATGTAATTTTAATGTGTTAATCTTTAGTACAGTGCCTTGCGAAAATATTCATCATTTTTTCACATTTTGTTAAGTTGCTGCCTTATGCTAAACTGCTTTAAATTACTTTTTTCCCACATCAATCTACACTCCATACACCATAATGGTATGGCAAAAAAACTGGTTTTTAGCATCTTTGCAAATGTATTAAAAATAAAAAACTTAAATGATTCCATTGCATAAGTATTCATATCTGGGACAGTTGAAATTTAGCTCAGGAGCATTCATATTGCTTGTAGATATTACTGCACTTCAAATGAAGTTAACCTGTGGCAAATTCAATTGAATGGGTATGATCTGTAAAGGCACACACGTCTTAATAAAAGGTCTAACGGCTGATAATGCATATCAGAGCAAAAACCAAGCCCTGAGGTCAAAAGAACTGCCTGTAGAGCTCAGAGACAGGTTTGTGTCAAGCCACACATCTGGGGAAGAGTTCGGGGGGGGAAATCTGCCTTATTGAAGGGTCACAGAAGCATGTAGTCTCTGTTACCCTTAATGGAAGAAGTTTGAAACAACCAGGACTTTTCCTAGAGCTGGCCTCCTGGCCAAACTGAGCAATTGATGGAGAAGGGTCTTGGTTAGCATGGTGACCAAGAACCTGATGGTCACTCTAGTTGAGCTCCATGATCATATTTGGAGATAAGAGAAATCTACAGAAGGACAAACATCACTGCAACACTCCATCGATCTGTGCTTTATGTCGGAGTGGCCAGACTCAATCTTCTCCTCAGTGAAGACACATGAAAACACACTTGGATTTTGCATAAGCACACCTAAAGGACCCTCAGACTCTGAGAAACAAGAGTCTCTGGTCTGATGAACCTCAATTCCAAGCATCATGTTTGAAGAAAACCAGATCTGCTCATCACCTGAAGAGTACCATCCCAAAAGTAAAGTGTGCTGGTAGCAGCCTCATGCTGTGGGGCTGTTTTTCAGCTGCAGGGACCGAGGAACTCGTCAGAGTAGAAGAAAAGCTCAATGCACCAAAATATTGAGTTAGCCTTAATGGAAACCCAGTCCAGAGCATTCAGAACCTCAGACTGGGCAGAAGGTTTTCCTTCCAACAGGACAATGAACCTAAGCACACAGCAAGAGTGGCTTATAGACAAGTCTGTGAATGTCCTTGAGTGGCCCAGCCACAGCCTGAGCTTGAACCCAATCAAATAATTCTGGAGAAACCTGAAAATGTGCATCTGCCCCCATCCAACCTGACAGAACTTGAGAGGAGAACAGGTGAGGTGAAGAATGGCAGATAATTGCCAAATGATGATGAGAAAAGCTTGTTGCATTAAACAGAAAAGACTTGAGACTGTTAAGGTGCTTCAGCGAAATATTTAGTTTATATTAGTTACCTATTTCAGTTTTTTTTTTTTTTGTACATTTACGAAGTTGTGACAGTTCTGTTTTTGCTTTGTCAGTATGGTGTATGGAGTGTAGATTGATGTGAAAATTTTTTTATTTAAAGCAGTTTAACATAAGGCACTGTATTATATAAATAAAATAACACAATAAAGACTAAATCATGGCTCCTGAGCTGTATGTAAATTCTGTCATTTAAAATAGAGAGAGTTACAAGTTCAACTCTCTAACCATTAGGCCACGACTGCCACAACTTATATATGTAATCAAATGCATATTTTAATGCAAATCAAATTTGAGTAAAATTTAAACACCTCTTTTTTTACCTGCAATAATATTGCAGGTATGGTGGATTACCTGGATTCTTGCTGAACCAATATCAGAGCGTAACAATTGCTGCGTCTCGCTGAGTTCTGCTCACAGCGAAGGAGAAACTGTTCTATGGTGCGGCTAAATGGTGCTGAATATTGGGATTATAACACCTTGTCCTATTATGCAAACTAACATTCTTCCTGATTTATTAATAAACTACCTATGGGAAAAAAATAAGTTAAATTAAGTTAAAAAATAAAATGAATACATTCAATAAAGTTAATTATAATGAAATGTAATTGAAATTACATTTATTAAATAGATTTATTAAATTAAATGAAGAAATTAAATAAAATGTAATTTATTAAATGTATTAAAGGAATCAATTCAATAAATTAAATATATTATAAAATAAAATTAATAAATCTAATCAAATAAATGAAACACAATTAAATTTATTAAATGATGTATTAAATTAAACATAATAATGCATTTAAAATTTTAAACTGAAATTTAATTACATTTATTTAATTACATTTTAAAATTCTGAAAAAAATACATTTAATATTTTTAATTAAAAAAATATATAAAACTTATAAAAACTTAAATTTAGGCTTTATTAAATGATTTTTTAAGGCAAGTAAGACAGTTAGACACTCTCTATTAAACTTCAAATAATTCGAAAAAAGAGGCCCTATGCGGGGACCCCCTCATGTCATTATGAGCCAATTACATTATGATTAAATTTGCCTATCATGAGCAATTTTACTCAAGAGAGGCTTTCTGAAATCAACAAACGTACAGTGTGTACACAAGCAAGCTTTTTAATTTTGCACAAAGGTCTTTACACAGAATGAGAGTCTCAGGAAACAATGTATCACACACTAGAATTTCGACTGTATCGATTCACATGATGTCTTAATTCTGCATGGAGTCACTTCTTGTGGGCGGGGGTTTTGCAGGACAACATATATCATACACAGTCCCACTCTTTGTCTAAACCGCGTCTCTTTGCGTGTCTCCTCAGGTTCTCTGACGGTGTCCATCACAGATATGCGCGCTCCAGTGGTGGGCGGATCCGGCGGGGTCTATGCACTCTGCTCAGCACATCTTGCCAACGTTGTCATGGTAACCAAAACTAACTGCTGCCATGGTGACTTCTGTCAGAATGAATGAAAAGGGGAAATCAGGCAGAGGAATAGAGAAACGCAGACGGATGAATCTCTCCGGATGCTTTATACTGCGGCTTCCCTAAAGATCAAAGAGTCTCTAATCACTGGCACACAGACAGACACAAACAGACGTCTGCTGTGTGCTGATGGATGCGTCTCAACTCTTCCCTCTTCCCTCATACACACGTTGTTATGGGATATAAGTGCCTTTTAGTTTGTGTGAGTGGAATTTAAGGAATGTTCTGGTGGAGCTCTATGATGTGATCAGTGACACGCTGTCAGTCACCACAGGAAATCATTTTCATTTGTTCCTCAAGCAAGAATCCACCTTTAAAGAGGTGTGATTTAGAAACTTTACCGCTCAAATAACGTTTTTTATACATAAGAATCAATATAAGCATGAAGTCAACATGAAATCAAAATTGACGTTTCTTGGCTTATTGGGAGCAAATCATCAGTGCGCATGTAGCCAAATAGCTATTAATCATTGTTTTGGCTCCGTTATAGAATGTAATGTCCACTACTCACAATTCCCACTGGATAACATCCTATTTTATTCAAAAATATCATATTATGAAAGTAAAATAGGTTGCAAATGACAGTCAGTGTTATTTTAGTATTAAGCATTATTTTCATATTTATTAGTATTTTGAATTTAATTTTTTTTTTCATTTTAATTTTAATTAAAGTTTAGTAATTTTATGTGCCTTGTTATTATTATTTTTATTAATATTTCTATTTAGCTTTAATTTATTTTTATTTCAGTTTTAGTCATTTTAGCGCTTCAGCCTAAACTAACTTTCAGATCTAAGTTTAAGTTTCATTCAACATTTTATTCATAGTTTTAGTTTTAGTTAACGATATCCACTACTCACAATTCCCACTGGATAACATCCTATTTTATTCAAAAATATCATATTATGAAAGTAAAATAGGTTGCAAATGACAGTCAGTGTTATTTTAGTATTAAGCATTATTTTCATATTTATTAGTATTTTGAATTAAAAAAAAATTTTCATTTTCATTTTAATTAAAGTTTAGTAATTTTATGTGCCTTGTTATTATTATTTTTATTAATATTTCTATTTAGCTTTAATTTATTTTTATTTCAGTTTTAGTCATTTTAGCGCTTCAGCCTAAACTAACTTTCAGATCTAAGTTTAAGTTTCATTCAACATTTTATTCATAGTTTTAGTTTTAGTTAACGATAACAAGACTGATGGCATTTCACATTAGCTTTACATTTGAGCTTTTAAATCAGAAGTCCAGCATACTTCTCCGGAGAGAAGTCTGTTATTTTTTTTATTTTTATTTTTTTTTAAACATTTCAAGGTAAAAAAACTAAATGCATGCATGGATGGATAGTTCACAGTAAGAATAATAACATGCATTTACAAAATAGAGTGAATTTTCATTATGCCGACTTTGTAAAAGTCTTTGTAATGCATTTTAACATGCAAATGTTTGTGTTTCAGAACTGGGCCGGTATGAAGTGTCCATACAAATTGCTACGGATGATTCTTGCACTTGTTTGCAGTAAGAAACTGTAGTTATTATAGTTCTTATAGTTTAGTAAATAGGCTGTGGCTGAATTCACAATACTAGCACGTTACGGTGTACAATTTTTTTTTCATTTGCTATATTCAGAATGTAAGACAAGCATATTGCATACTATGCAGTATACACTAGATACTGTATACTATTTAAATAAAAATAATGTTATACTGTATGTGCATTATGCAGCGATTTCAAACAATTGTATGCTACATTATTACTCGACCTCATTACATGTATTATGACTTTTTAATTCAATGTGTTTGTCTCCAATTATCTGAAAAATAAACATGGTTGTTTTGCATTTTTATTCTGCTCAAATTAGATGGTAAAAATTTAAATATTTGTCAAATTAAATAAAAAAATTTAATTATATTTTTAATAAAAAAATGTAAAATAAAAAATCTAGATATATTAGAAATAAATTACATATTGCAGAGGTAGTATAAATAGCAGACTAGTATGCTGTTCCAAACATCTGCCAATCTCTTTCTCTGTCTTTGGCAGTGAGTTCAGAGGTGGGGCGCGCCGTATGGCTGCGTTTCTCCCCGCCCCTCCCCTCCTCCGGACCGCAGCCCAGTTTCATGGCTCATCTGTCGGGCGCAGTGGTGGGCATCAGCATGGGGCTGCTGATCTTGCGGAGCTATGACGAATCTCTGCATAAACAGTGCTCCTGGTGGGTCCTCATCTTCTCCTTCATCACCTTCCTCCTCTTCGCCATCTTCTGGAACATTTTCGCTTACGAGCTGCTCGGGGTACAGATCCCGCCCCCTCCCTAATGACACGCCCCCCTCCCGGTGGCCCCCAAAAGCCACGCCCCCCTGTCCGACACAGGTCCGACCTCAATCTACTCCGCTCGACCAGCAGCGGAGACACCGACGTAAAAACCGGAAGGAAGGGTTTTAGCGGAGTGAACCGAAAACACATTCTCACATTCCATACAGAAGCAGCGAACATAAACAGCGTGGTATTTTTAATGAACACTCGGAGGCAGCTCAAGGGTCCGGCGAGCCTATCTGAACAGACCGTCAGTACGTCGTACACTAGAAACATACACACACGTACATCAGATTTGTTGTGTATTTCAGCCCGGGGCTCATTCATGATGCCTTTCTGTATTGTTTTGATTTGACAGCCTCTTCTAAGCCTGTTATGCATTGCAGATACCATCTGTAGTAGATGAAACGCTGTCACTTGAACCAGGAATCTCGCTGACTAAAACAAAGCCTTACGCTTGAAGACACGGCGAGGTAGTCCTCAGTGAGGTAGGGGGTTGATGTCGATGTCATTCGATGCTGTTTGTTTTTGGGTAATTACAGATTGGATTGGTTGAAACAAGGTAAAACTTGTTTCAAAGGGTAGAAAGTATGTTTCTGAAGCGGTTTCTTGCTTTACTTGGTTGCTCAGCTGTACACACACAGAAACAGAAACATTAGCTCTGTTCCAAATCATAGTGAGCTTTCTGTGAAAGTAGCATGCTATAGGTGTGCATTATGTTGCCTTCTAAGATGACTACTTTTTGCCAAATATGAACACAGAATTTTCAAAAAGGAATCCCAGAATGTATTGCAACAAGCTCCAAAAATCCAAATTTTTTTTATAAATTATATATACCACCGCTCAAAAGTTTTGGGTTGGTAAGATTTTTTTTATAAATTATATATACCACCGCTCAAAAGTTTTGGGTTGGTAAGATTTTTTTTATAATGTTATTGAAAGAAGTCTCTTATTCTTACCAAGGTTGCATTTATTTGATAAAAATACAGTAAAAATATGAAATATTATTACAATTTAAAACAACTATTTTCTATTTGAATCTATTGTAAAATGTAATTTATTCTTGTGATCAAAGCTGAATTTTCAGCATCATTACTCCAGTCTTCAGTGTCACATGATCTTCAGAAATCATTCAGAAAAGAAACGTTTCTGATTATTATCAATGTTGAACACAGTTTTTGCTGCGTAATATTTCTGTGGAAACCATGATACATTTTTTTCAAGATTTTTTGATGAATAGAAAGTTAAAAAAAGCCCCAGCATTTATTCAACTTTTTAAATGTTTTACTGTTATTTTTCATCAATCTAATGCATTCTTGCTGAATAGTTTTAATTTAATTTTACTAGTTGTACTTTTCCCAAACTGTAATGCCAGACTAAAATATATGAAATTGAGTGCAACATTTTGAAATATGATAAGCAACCTTTCATTGCATCTAAATGTTGTACATTTAAGCTTGCATTCTCCGGTGATTTATACAATTTTTAATTTAAAATGCATCTTACTTCATATTTTTTCTTAACACTGCATTTGTAACTTAAGTAACATCATTTTATTGACATTAGTAACTGTAATCAAATTACATAAATTCAAAATGTAATGCATTACATTACTGCGTTATCAGGAAAAGTAATTAGAGTACAGTAACGCCAACTCTGCTAGTAAACAACACTAGAGCTCACTTGGTATGGAACAGAGTGAATGTCTGACTATGGAAGCCCATTTCCGCCAATGAATACAAATTTTTTAAAAAGGTTATTGCGACTTTTTATCTCGCAATTGCGAGTTTATATCTGCAATTCTGACTTTTTTTCTCGCAATTTTGACTTTTTTTCTCGCAATTGCGAGTTTATATCACGCAATTATGAGAAAAAAAGTCGCAATTACCTTTTTTATTTTTTATTCAGTGGCGGAAACGGGCTTCCATATCTGACCCTTCATCTTGACCTTTGAAAATATTTCCAATGAACACAAACACAAGCCAGTGAGAGAGTCAATATTTCTGTGCCAAACACTAATGATTACTTCAGTATTGCTGTGCAGATTGCAGTTGTTATGGTAACTGCCATAACGTGATTAAAGATGCTTTCAACATAGAAACAAGTGTCAAGACCACCGATACCGAATGTTTTGTATCTCCAGTCGTGTCTGCAAACATTTTCAGTGAAGGTCGTCTTAATGATAATGATGATTATGACTGGGTTTAGATGAAGATTTACTTGATAAATGAAAAAATACAACTCAAAAAGACTGCAAAAGATGAGAAAATTTAGTATTTTATGACCCTTAACTCTTAAGACCAAGCAAATAATTACAAAATTCAGTAGTGCCAAGTTATCATTCGCTAAGCTGCTAAAAGATAATTAAAGGGAATTAATTAAATTGCTAAAGGAAAGATGTGTATAAGATTGCTGTTCTGAGATGATTTCTTTTCATTTTCGAAAAGCTTGACCGTGTGTGTTTAATGTTGTGGATTTTTATGCCATAGTCCTATATTTATATTTATTCAGAGTGGCTATCGGTGTTGGATTGTGGCGTCTGTAAAGATTGTCTTAAACTGAGGGATGTGATGATGATGATGATGATGATCCAAAACTCACAATTGAATGCATTTAGACCCACAGAAACAGAAAGTGCTGGAAGCAAAGCAAAGAATATTAACAATACAATATGTTTAATTAATAAATTCAGCTGTGGCCAAAGGTCACGCTTATGTAACACAACACATTAATGCTTTCCAGGAACATGTGAGCTATCTGAATATTTTAAAGTCAGCATGAAACTGCACTCGCAACCTGTTTTACTGCCACGGTGTGACACATTTTACAGGTAAAAAGGATATTTGAGGAGAGTTGGCAAAAAACAAAGGCTTGGTGAAGACATTTCAGTAGTAATAAAGTAAATAATGTCAATTTTGGCTTCACGTTGACTTTAAATGTTCTGATCCAGCATCCAAAAAAGTGGAATTTATAGAGTTCCTGTAATATCCAGCTGGCTGGCACTTTTAGACAGGTGAAAAAATGAAACGCTGATGAATATTTATCAGACACGCATATAAACAGTGAGAAAGAGAGAGGGAAATGTTATTTAAAAAAAAAAGCTAAAAGCTGTATTGGGATATGTGATAGAAGAAAATGAGGTGAGAAAGACGGGACAAATAGCTGATAAAATGAAGGAAAATTGAGAGAGAGCAGTGAATGATGGATCCTTTTTTTTTTTAACACTCATCAAATGATGCTGGAAGTGTGTGTGTGTGTGTGTGTGTGTGTGTGTGTTAAACATGCTTTAATGTGCTCTATGACCGTTGTTGGTTATCAGACTGTTATAAGCACACACACTGTAGTCTGTGTGTGTATTTAAGCGGTACGTGAGTGTGAGAAACACTCAACCTCGGTCTAAAACTGTTGGATTGTGTTCGGAGTGGAATACTAGCAAGCGTCCCGCATACTTTGCTGTTTATACCGTATACTGCCTACTATTTTTCAAAAATATTATGTGAAACAGTATGCATTTTGAAACTAAACATTTCTAACAGTAGTATACAAGATGATCATGTGACATCATTGATTAATTCAGCGAATGGGATCAATTTATCATATTTGAAATTGTTTATTCAATTTTAATCCAATTTTGAGAAAAATTAAATGCGAAGTAAAATGAAGTCTTTTAGCATTCTGATCAAATAATAAGATTAAGTTAAGAGTTGATCATGTGGTTAATTTATTTTCAGAACTTTTATTTTAGTATTATTTATATATTATTATAGTATTTATTAATATTTTGAAATAGCTTTTTTTTTATATTTTCAGTTTTAATTTTAAGTTCTAATTATAATTTTTTTTGTTATTTATAGTTTTTGTCATTTTTATTAGTTTTTTTTACAGTGTGCTCTGTTGCATGCTGCATATTTTGGCAAATATTACCGATAAGTCATCCACATATGCCATTTATACTAAACGTTTGCATAATGTGCCAGTATGCATACTGCAAAACTAGTATGGTAGTATGCCACTCCAAACAAACCCTGGGTGAAGAAGTGCACTCAATCAATCCTCTTAAAACTGGGAACAAACCTATTTACCAAGGACCTCTCCCTTAATCCCGCCCACTTTACATCCCAGCCAATAGCTGCTCTCGAATCTCATGCTTAACATCAGTAGCTACCAATCAGCACAGATCGTGTGTTTATTTTCTCCATGATGTTGTAGGTGTAGGTCGCAAGAGTGTTGCTTTGAGCTCATCACTGCGTTGAGTGAGATCCTCTGTCGCCGCCACAACCCTAGTTCTACTGAGAATCCAATCCTAGTCCATTTACAGATTTCAAAATGGTGCCAAAAGACGAGAGACGACGACTCGTTGCAGTAAAAGATTGTTTACCAAAAAAAATAAAAAAAAAAGGTTAAAACTGAAAATATACTATAAGGCTAATAGTTTTCTCTGGATCAGATGATGATAAAAAAAGAGATGTAAATAATGATCGTTTCTATCAAATTCTTTATCATTTCATGATATAGGTACTGTACTTCTGAAATATTGGGACCCGAGGCAATTTTGTTTTTGTAGTTTTATTTTGTATTGTTTTGTGTTTGCTTTCATTTCTCAGCTGTATGAAATAAAGACCATACTGTGAGGAGACACGTGTGTGTGTGTGTGTGTGTGAGTCAGTTTTGGTACAAAGTATGACAATTTTTGTTTCTTATAAATTAAAGAAAATATATTTTTTATAATTAAATGTATTTTTGAATTATTATTATTTTTTACAAATTGCCCATGCAGTAGCAGCAGTATAAATTGATGGTAATTAAAATTAATCATTAAATTTGATTTATATGTACTTTGTTTACATCAGCGTTGAAAACTGTTTAATGTTGTGCTGCTTAATGTTTTTTTTTTAGATTTTTTGTCCAGATTTTTTTTAAGAATAGAACGTTCAAAAGAACAGCGTTTATTTGAAATAGAAACCTTTTGTATCATTTTAAATGTCTTTAATGCATCCTTGCTGAATAAAAGTATCAGTTTCTTTTTTTCTTACCCCATATATTAAACCACTAAAAGCTTGGGGAATCACGGTTTAAAAATATTAAATGACAATGAGCCACTCGCCTCGTTCCGGCATCATGTTTCTTGTTAATTATCTATTTCTGATGCGCTTACAGTCAGTTTCCACTCCATGCTGCTGACGAGCTCAGCGTGTGTGAGGGAACTGAGACCGCTGCCGGCAGCTCCTCCTGAAACCTGACAGGAGACAGAGACTGTCATTAAGATTTACTACATCTACAATTCTATTCTGATGCAACTACAATAAAAGACATTTTAGGTGTGTGCTTGTGAGAATGCAAATCTCTTTTTTCTTTTCCATCTGTAACTGTTCATCTGAGTATTTCAGTAGTGGTCCACATCAAATACAGGGCAATGCTAGAAAAGCTCTGTTTAAGGTTGTGTCGTGTTAATTGCATGTTAACTGCTAATTGTGATAAGTAGGCAAAAATAATAAAATGACAACATTACTACAACTGTAACTAAAACTAAAACCGATAACTAATACAAATCAACATACATTAGTTCATCAGTAATCCTAAAA